AAACAAAGCAGGTCCGGGGGCCAAGAAAAAAATCAAGCCACCCATGATGTTTTGTTACAATACCAACATGGGTGGAGTGGACATTTGTGACAAAAGGACGTATTCTGGAAAGTATTTATAAGGGTGCCTTATCTGCAAGGTTCATTTGTGCAGAGGGATTTGCTTCGCCAGTTTCCACCAGACACTTGCCAGGCTCGAGTCTCAGTGAAAATGGTATATGTTTAACGCCCCTATCAACACTATTAGGTTATTTAAGGAGCGGGACCTCCTAGTTTAACGTCCGTCTCCGATAGGACTGAGCCAAGTGGGAAGTTCGTGTAGAGTGCCTTTCCCAAGGACACAACGTCGGACTGAGCTGAGGCTCGAACCCCCGAACTCGCAATCTCACGATTACGAGTCCGGTAGCCTAACCACTAGGCTACCGACGCCACTCGAGTCTCAGTGATCAGGTGTTTATTTCATTGTTGGAATTGGATTACACGACAGTCGACGACAAAAACTTGCCAGGCTTCAGTCTTAGTGACTTGTGTTTATTTCATTGTAGGGTTACCTGATAGTTGGTGACAAAAATCTTATTGAGATGATGAAATAGTTAGCAAAAAGTCCACTTGCCCAGCTCTGGTGTCACATACTTACTCTCAATTGACTGTTTTTGTAACTATATTCATTTTCTCTCCCAGACGTCTTTATTTCCATTGTAGTATTGTAGTATGTTTCTATGCTTTTATGTGAAGGTTTTTTTTACAATCATACCATTCATCCCTGTAAAGAATCCAAGACACACAACTAAAAAAAAACCCGATCTCATATCTCATCACACTCTTCCATTCTCCTATAATTTAGTTTTTAGCCGTAGTTATTTAATTTAGCTCATTCATTTGCCTTTCAGAAAACACTTTTTCATTATTGTCGGATGAGAGTGAGATTTTAAACCATTTTTTTTTAAAGGCAGGCCCCTTTTCTTTTGCCGAGTTCTTCCCCTTCTCTTAAGCATGACCAGGTCCAGCTTGGCCCGGTTGCTAAAAGGTTAACGAAAAACAGATGACATCTATAAGGGTTAATGATGAATAGAAGACATCTATAAGGGTTAATGAGAAACAGAAGACATCTATAAGGATTAAGAGGATTTGTGGCTTCTGCTATGGCCAATTCTGGCATAGGAATATATGGTCGCTTTTAACAACAAGTGGGCTGTCCCAAAAAATGCTGTTTTGAGACAATTGAAGGTAAAGATTTTGCCCCTTGTTCAGTTTCATTAAAAAACAAGGAGAGTTTTCTCTATAACCAACAAATATACACACCAATGAAACCAAACTTCTCCTATAGGCACGGCAATGCCCACTTTTCTCTTGGTGTAGGCCAAGATTTCTGGAAACCCCCGACATCTGGGTTAGCCCGCTTGTCCTTAAAAGTGACCATATTACAACAGACTAGAAAACAAGTACACAAACAAATTTCAGGAATCCAAATGACCTGATTTATCAGGAAAAATGAAAAAAAAAAAGAGGCACCTCCGGCGTGTGAACCCATCCTCCGTAGTCTGTTGCAGTTTCCGCACTGAAAGAAGCGATATCATCTTTAATCACACAGCCAGATGAAGGCAAGACAGTGGCTTTCGGTGTGCGCACATGACTGTCTTAGTAGTCCTTCCTGACTCTTCATCGAGATGGAGGACGAATTAGTGCATAAACCGATCCTCAGCCATCCATGCTGTAGTCACTGCACCTCTTTTGCGATGTTCGTGAAATGACAGGAACTGGTGGACTAGATGGTGAAAGCAAGTGGGAGTGTGTGCATGAGCGTGGGTGTGAGAGCTACAGAAATAGAAGACAAGATGGTGGGTGTGCATGAGTTGTGTGTTGTGTGTGTGGGCACACGCATGTGCACTCGAGCATCTGTACGACGAGTGAGTGCGAGAGAGTCAAAATATCCTCGGAATGAGCGGCACTTTTCATATATCTCAGTCAGGGTCGTCATCCACAGCGACACACGGCAAAAGAAAGGCAAGATGGTGGCCTGGCGTATACACACAAACACCCCAGTCTTTGATGAATAAACACACATACCCCAGCCTTTGGCATACATAGATCTACACACAAATAACTTTATAAACACAAATACCTCAGTCTTTGGCATATGTACACCTTTGATGAAAAAACACATACTCCAGCTCTTTGCGTATACACATGAATACCTCAGTCATTGGCATATGTTACAGTAAGAATACGTACCTAGTGAATACACATAATCACTGAATATTTTAGAGAATACACGTAATCCCCGTTTCACTCAGGAGTTTCACGTAATCACTGAAATTTCTAGTGATTACGATAAAGCCCAAAAATTAGACCTACCCTTTTATGTCTTCTCACTATTGAGCATTCAAGGAATTCAGTTAATAGCCCCGCCACTGTACGGTGACCCAGTTTGGTGTGCTAGCTATGAACCACAAATACTCGTAGTCTTGTTTTGAACCACCAATGTGTTTTTGCTGTGCTTGCTATTACTATAAGGTCGTCTCTCTTCACTATTCGCCTTCCTCAAGCAAAGTCAAGATGTCTATCGAGGAAAAGTTTACACGAAAGCTTACGGATTATTTTAAAGAAAACAAAGAAAGGACTGATTCCAAAATGTGATTATCAGAAAACAATTGATTCCTGGAAAGCAGCAGCAGCAGTAGATAATTCCCATGCCAAGGGGCAGCTTGGGTATTATCTATTGGAGAAGTAAGTTTTCACTTCATTTTACAATCTTACTCAGTCTACGACAAATTCTCTGTCTTTGTCTGTTTGTCTGTCTGTCTCAGGTTGTTGTTGTTGCGGTTGTTGTTGTCTCTCTCTGTCTCTCTCTCTGTGATTGTTGTTGCAGTCATTATCTCTCTCTGTGTCTGTCTGTCTGTTTGTCTGTGTGTCTGTGGGAACTTAGGAACACTGTTTTTAGCCGTGTTTGTTTTGGCTTTCGAAACAGTACTTGTATCTCGCAAACAGTAGGCCTACTTGTACCTCGTCTGCCAGGGAAGTTTCTTCGATTTGGCCGCCGTTGTTGTAGTTGTAGTTGTTGTAGTATTTGCTGTTGTTGTTGTGGTTTCAATTTTCAGTTAAAAACCTAAGACTAAAATCCTGATCTCATTCTCTCTGTCTCTCTCAGGTATGAAATACTCCAGTGTGGGTCTACAGAAAAACTGATAAAGAGACGTTCGGAGCAACAGGAGTTGCCACTCTACTATGTGAGCATCAGGGATACGTTTGATACTGTCAAGAGCGCCAAATCTCAACTGGCCATGGTGGAAGAGACCGGATGCTGAAAGAACTTCTAAAGAAATACGCCTACATTCCAACTAAAGCCGCCGAGCTGTTTTAAGTCACTCCGTCTAGAATGCCAAAAGAAACGAAAACGGCCGATGACGAAGGGTGTTGTCGTTCATCCATTACTCACCAAGGAGTTCTCGTCAAGGGGTCAGGTGGATCTAATTGACATGCAAAGCATGCAGAGTGGACCCAATAAGAAATGGATCATGGTGTACCAGGATCACTTGAGGAAGTTTTGCATCCTTCTAGCCTTGACGTCTAAAAGAGCTGCAGAGGTCACTTTTCATTTACTGGACATTTTTCTGCTCATCGGTGCACCCGTTATAATATTCTACAAAGCGATAACAGATCCGAGTTCACTTCACAGGTCATCAGAGAGCTGAAGGAAGTTTGGCCAAACCTAAAAAAGGTGCATGGTAAGCCTCGCCATCCCCAAAGTCAGGGGTCGGTTGAGCGAGCAAATTGTGATATTTAAGATCTGCTCGTGGCTTGGATGACTGATAATGACTCACAGGACTGGCCTACCGGCATCAAATTTGTTCGGTTCCAGAAAAATAGTGCTCTTCATTCCGGGATAAAGTGCTCTCCATATTCTGCAATGTTTGGCTGTGAAGTTTGCGTTGGACTTACAACTTCGTCTTTGCCGGAGAAAGTGACTGCTAGGATAGAGACTGAGGAAGAGTTTCTTGCTGTCAATGAAAACTCTCTCTCCCAAACTGACGGGGCTACAAACCAGATCCAAGCTACAAGCGAAGAAACACCAACAGTTGGTGTGGAAGACGGTGTTGTACTTCCAGTCCAACTTGAAAGAACATCCGCATAAGACATCGATCTACTCACAGAACCTTCCTTTCCCACAGCAACACCACCAGCCTACGATATTGACTGTCCTGGTTCTCAAGGACAATCGGAAGAGCATGTAACATCTCTCTTACCCTCTCCATCTGACAGTCCCGGTTATTCTGCTGAAAACCTTTGGGTAGAAGAATGCATCAAAACAAATATCACTGTGTCGTCGTGAAGCAGCCAATGCGCAGACTTCTCAAGCAGAAGGAATGGTTAATAAAGAAGTCGTGTAGATATGCGAGCTGGTAAACAAGGAGACGTTTGTGTGCCAGTTCCATTTGTTGATCGAGGGAGAGGCGATCCTAGAAATATCCTTGGTGTCATAATTGACAGACGAGAAGACACAGGCCAATATAAGATAGCCGTAAAAGCTGGTATTCTCAGTGGTTTGTATTCCAGAAATCAATTCGATCTCTGCCCTGAGCATCCTCTGAACACTGATGACATAAACAGCGAAAAAATAGTTTTGCTGCGTTCGGCTGTGATTTTTCAATCCTCGTCAGGTGGACAAGGCTTCACAAGATGCAACTGTACTAGTGCCAAAAAGTGTAGTTCAAGACGATGTAAATGCCGTAAAGCAGGACTTCAGGGTAACTCACAGCGTCATAGCAGCCTCAACTTTTGTAGCAAGTGACGACGTCAGTGGATTTTATTTTTAGGTTTTTAACTAAAAACGGAAACAACAACAACAATGGTGTCTGCCATTTTCAACAATTAAATGCTTTATTTTTAGATTGTGGAGCAGGTATGTGTATGTGTGTGAGTGAGAAAGAAAGAGAGAGAGAGAGAGAGAGAGAGAGAGAGAGAGAGAGAAAGAGAGAGAGAGAGAGAGAGAGAGAGAGAGAGAGAGAGAGAGAGAGAGAGAAAGAGAAGGTGGGTGGGGGAGAGAGAGAGAGAGAGTTACAGTATCTTTTACCAAACTGACTATTTGCATGATCATTTTTTAGATTTTTTAAATGCTTTGTTTTTAGATTCTTGAGCATGTGTGTGTGTGTGTGTGTGTGTGTGTGTGTGTGTGTGTGTGTGTGAGAGAGAGAGAGAGAGAAAGAGAGAGAGAATCTGTTACCGAACTGACTATTTAAGCAATAAATTTTTGCATATACTACACATGTCTGATCAGGGATTATGCGTAATTACTGCGACCATTTTTCAGCGATTTCACGTAATTCCTGCTTATTTCAGTGATTACGTGAAATCTCTGAGTGAAACAGGGATTACGCGTTTTCACTTAAATATTCAGTGATTACGCGTATTCACTAGGTACGTGTTCTTACTGTAACATATACACACAAACACCTGTCCTTGGTGAACACACACAATTATCTCAGCCCTTGTAGTCTTACTTGTCTTACTTGTCCACTGCGTTGGGGTTACTGCAGTCGGAACATGTCCATCTCTGCTCCCCCCTTCAGGATTCATCCCAGAGTCAGGCCTTGTAGTACACACACAGAACACCTGTCATTGGTGCATACTCATAAATATCTCAGTCACTGGAATATACACACAAATACTTCAGCCCTTAGCACAGGCACACAAACAAATATCTCTGACTCAGCACTTCACAGTCCCAGCACAACCTCTCGGTCCCCCCAGTCTCTCCACGGTCAGTGCTGGAGTTTGAGCACCTCGTGCGGTATGTTGGCCACCACGCAGCCGAAGGTGGACATGACGGTGGGCAGCTCCTGGCCCTCTGACCACATCCAGGTGTCCTGTTCCCCGTCCTGGCACAGCTTGCAGACGCCAGCCATCCAGCTCTTGTCGTCCTCCCCGCCCACCACCAGCAGACTGTCGCCGTACTTCACCACACCTGCAACACAGCCACAGCATTAGTATTGGTGTCATCATCATCACCATCATCATCATCATCAATGCGGATGTCAAACATATGTTTGAATGTCCAGGAACAATGGCAATTCGAATGGAGTTATTTGGACGAGAGGAGGTGCCGCTAAGCATATTGACAAAGGAGCCGAAAAAGAGCCTCGCTATCGCTCGAAGATTTCTTTGTGGAGTCCGCCAGGCCCATTAAAGAAACAAAAAACATCATCATCATCACAGTCATTGAAACTATCACCAATACCATTATTGTGGTAGAAATGTATTATCATTATCATATCATAACTCTCATTAAAACTAGTACCATTATTGTGGTAGAAATGTATTATCATTATCATATCATAACTCTCATTAAAACTAGTACCATTATTGTGGTAGAAATGTATTATCATTATCATATCATAACTCTCATTAAAACTATCACTTACAGTATTATTCAAAGCTGTTGAAAAGTACAATCATCATCACCACTGTCATCAAAACTATCACTAATACAAGCTGGGTACCCCTTTGATGAACAGACTCAAAAGAATCGATCGATTTAACCCTAGCCATCATATTAAGAATAAGTACGGCTAGCCCAGCTGTCTAGCCGTAGCCTAGCAGTCTAGCCGTCATTAAGTACAGTTATCCTCTTCCTTTGAAGAGATTGCCTACAGCCCATACCATTTCTTTTTTCACCAAAAAATCAGGCGATTGAGCCGGGCGATCGGCCCGATCCAGCCGTAGGTAAAATTAAGAATAATTCGAAGTGGTGTTCCGAGGTCGTGACAAGCGACATTCCGATGTGAAAATTGAGAAAAAAATTAGGGTATACGCTGGGCAACTGTATTTTGAACTATTCATTATTCCCAGGTTTGCCTGCTGTCAATGGTGCGACGACAAATAAATTGAATTATGGTAGCAATGAAAGGGGAACCTGCTTTTAATTAAACATTGCCAGTAATGGAAAGATATGTTGGTGAAACAATCAAATAAGACAAAATGTTGGTGAAAACGTGCAGATTTTCCTGCCGCGGCAACAATCCGAAGATAGATAGACAGAAGGAAAGAGTGAATGATAGAAAGGAGGAAATTGGCACTAAAGGTTCGCCAGATTTTGATCCATCTGCAGGTAAAAAATGTACTGCCGACCAACCCGCAATGAATGCATGGGGCATAGCGGAATAATTTAAAATTGCAGGAAATGCGCAATCTGGAAGGTTTCTATAACTTTAACTTGTTGCCGAGAGAATTACCGTAAATATCCGTAACTTATACAATCCAACACGAAGGGGACTACGGAATTTCGGCAGTCCTGCGCTGTCATGGCCCTTTTTTACGGAGGGAGTTGATAATGATGGAGGAACAAGTACGGAACTTGCAGAAAGTACGGATTTCCGTAAAAATACGGAAGAGTGGAAGCACTGAATAAGCAAACAATCATCAGATGAAGATCCTGATCGGTGACATTTAAAACACTGGAATTTTTCTTAGCAAGCGGGGAGCGTTAACGGACAGTAGTCAAGAGGTTGTTACTATTTTCGTCACAAACTAGAGAATCTGTTGGACGTAGACCAAAAAACTCTCACTCACCTGCCCCACACAGAGCATTGCCCAATGACGGGCCCTCAGACCACACCTCTGTCACGGGGTCAAAGATCTCCACCGAAGTGACGCAGAACTCTGGGAGGTACTCCTTACGCCACTTCTCGCTGATGGCAGAGTTGCCTCCTGTGGGCAACAATAATAATAATAATAATAATAATAATATATAACGTTTAAATAGCGCATTTCCAAAAAAGACGTAGCTCAATGCGCTTTACATTGGAATACCAATTTTTCAAAAACCTTTCTTACTGCTTCCTTTCTTCTCATGCAATATACACTAATGCACACACACACACACACACACACACACACACACACACACACACACACACAGACTATTTTCATCCAGACACAGGAACAGAACAACTATAATGGAAATTTACGTTAAAAGCTTATGAAGAATAGTAATTGTACTTTTAGATGTTTCATGCCCCCATCATGATCGCAGATGTCTGTCGCAGATCTGGCACTGGATGATGATGATGATGCCCCAATCAAAACGATTTTGTGAGGCAGCATGGTAAAATCAGGCCCTCGTCAAAACAATGAAATCGGAGAAACAAGCATTTTTTTTTTTGCCAGTTTGGACATCTTTATTTTTCTGGCTTAACCTCTTTTATATCCATATGAAAATACATTTCCATGTGAATTTTACTGGAAAAACATTGACTAAAGATGTCATTTTTCTGCCTTCAAAGACTCTTTAGCTATTGGAGTTACCAAACTTTGGCGCCATTTTCTGACCTCATTAACTTCACCACTGAAACCAGGCCACCATGCTTCCTTCAATCGCAAGTATCTTGAGTTCTATTCAAGATAAATGGATATTTCTTTCACTGAAAGCAAGGCAAATAAATCAGCTTTCAGAAGACACTAAATAACTCCACATGCCTGAAAATTGACAAGCGTTTGATTCCACCACGTGGTGACACATTTAGACAATCTAGGAAGTCATAGCTGCCACTCAGCCTGTCAGGGCGGGCCTGGGCAAAAGAGGAACACAGCGTCCCAGTAGACAAACGGATTTACTCGATAAATATACCCTCCCTTTAGAGGAATAGAAAACCTTAAATCGATTTCAGAGCACCACCTTTCAAATAGCCTTTTAATGTTGAAAGGGGCATAAACACTTTGTAGTCACACTGGTGCAATAATGCGCCTGTGAAAATTATCCATTCCAGTCACCTGGCGCAGGCCTGAAAAGTCCATTATAGTCGCTCTCGTGGCTGGGTGACCAGATGGGGTATTTTGTACCGCAAGCTGCGTGACTGCAAAGTGTTAAACTCACACAGCGAGAACGACCAATGACAGCCGACAGAGATACTCTCTTACATTTGTGAGGTGTGCAGACAAAACGAGTTACTTCTCGCAATCCACAAATGGAGATATTGGCCAAACATCGACACTGGGGTCAAATTTGTAGATATTTCTATTGATGCCGTATTCTTTAAGTATACAACATGCCTTTTATTGTTTCATACTTATATATTGTAAAAACTTCAAGGTGATTTCACCTATAAACGTAATGTATGTAATTCCTTTAGGATTGAAAATCTGAGAAGTAACTCATTTCGTCAGCACGCTTCACATTTTGTTCTAGCCATTGCTAGATCTGCCAACTTCTTTGAGTTCATTCAAATAAAGGGAAAAAAAACCCACATCAACACAATGACAATCCAGCTACAGCGTTCTTAATGTAGTGTTCTTATCATTGGCTGTGTTGTGATAGCATGTGAGTGTGCTATGTGTCAGCGTTAATTTAGTAAGCGCATGTATGCATTTTCATGCACATTTATAAAGAACCGAGAGCTGTATAGTAAGGGAGGGGGCACAACACTGAATGATCCCTACTATATTTATGATTAGTTTAGTTCTAGTAGAGGTTTTACGGCGTTCGCAACTGCAAAAGGTCATATGAGTGCAGAAGATTAGAGCTGTTACAAGAGAGTAACAAACATAAAAAAGATGAAGGGGAGATAAGGACGATAGATGTTTCATAGGAAAGAAGAAGCAAACAACACCAGAGCACCCGCCAACCAACCACATATTTACAATTATTAACACTAAGGAAAGGAACAAAGTAAGACAGAGAGACAGAATCAACAGAGTAGTACATCACATATCACTGGAGCCCTTTATACACCCACCTGCATTCAAGGATTTTCATAAATACGATGGTGCATTATCATTCAACCATTTGCAACATAGAGTAACCAACTTGTGCAGTATTTGCGAGGTGTACTGACAAAATTAATTATTTCTCGCAGTCCACAAATGGAGAGATATTGGCCAAAAATAGACACTAGTTAGTGTCAAATTTGTAGATTTCCTATTGATGCCGTATTCTTTAAGTATAACATGCCTTTTATTATTTCATACTTATAAAATGTGAAAACTTCACCTATGAGTGTGATGTATCTATTTCCATTAGGCTCGAATCCGAGACGTATCTCATTTTGTCAGCACGTTTCACATTTTCTTCTCAACAGGAAGCCAGCGCAGTGTCCCAAAAAGAGGAGTAGTAGAGTCTCACTTTCTTTTCTGTAAACCTAAATTTACAGTATTGTTTTGAACAATGTAAACCACATTGAACTTGCTGTAGAGTGTAGATATTTCCTATAAAAATGTAGTTATTATCACTATTATTATTATTATTATCATTACCTATCACATAAATTTTGTCCTTGAAAACGACACTGCCAGCCAGGACACGAGGTGTCTTCATCGGGGGCAGCTCCGTCCACGTGTCGTCCGTGGGGTCGTACCTGCAACAAGACACATCCACAGGCTTGATAACTTTCTCAAAACATAACCAGCAACAACAAACTGTACAACATCAGAATACAAATGTACATCAAATGCAGCTACTTTTGGTGAAGCGGGTGTTGTGAAAATGTTATGGAGGGACTGCATAACTGTACTTGTCTTGTAAAAAGATTTAGTAACACATGTTTGTACAAAGTGTCTCTTCGTAAAGTTATTATTGTAATAGTTTTCCTTGTTCTCTGACTCAGACTGATACTTCTACCATTCAACCATAGAAAGTATGATCAATTTTTGTATAACAGCATGGGCCGGGAACAAAAGACAACAAGATAAAGAAAAATTAAATCGACTAATACGGAAAGCATGTAAAATTTCAACATCTTCATTCCCCTACTTGGATGAATTGTACATAACAGCTTGCACTAAGAAAAATTAATTCCATCTTTTTAGACAACAAACATCCCTTTTTCCCTCAAATAAAAACATCAGTCAGAAGTAAAAGACCCATGCTTCTGATCTGTAACAAAGAAAGATACAGAAGGTCATTTTTACCATCATCTATCAAAATGCTTCCATCTTAACCATCTTGTTTAGTGTACTTACGACCTTAGAGCATGCATCAAAATAACATTGAGTGTGTATCTAGCTTACGATTATTATTGTTTATATTGCTGCTCATTTATATTATGCATTTGATTGTAAGCCTACTTGTGTGTGCATGTGTGTGCACGTGTGTACGTGTGCGTGTACTCGTGGTGGAACACCAAACCAATGTGCCAGGATCTGGACAATAAAGATGTATCTTATCTTATCTTATTATACTGTTCAGACCGAATCTGAGAAAGAAATTGAATAAAGTTGATTAATCTAGCTACTAGAATTCGCCTAACATTTCAGTGGGCTAAAATGTTCTCTCAAATTCTCAACTGCCAAATCCAGGTCACCCTGGAAAATTCTGGACAGCTTGCAAGCCTGCACCTGAACTCTATATGGGAGGTAGCGTGGTGAAATCAGGCGCTCGTCAAAATAATGAAAGTAAAAAAACTGACACTTTTCCGCTGGTTTGGCAATTTTTATCGAAATTTTAGTTTTTGGCTCAGCACCTTCAATGTCCATTTGAGAACCCATTTCAGTGTGAATAAGATTGAAAAATTGTTGATTAAAAGTATAAAAAATACAAATCGTCAGTTTCCACAGACTCTGAGTCCTTGTAAATTTAACCAAACTTTGGCAGCTATTTTCTCCCCAATTTTACCTCTGAAAACAGGCGACCTTCACCTCATTCAATCGCAAACATCTCGACATGCACTCAAGATACATGGGTAATTCTTTCATCGAAAGCAAGGAAAATGGACCCGTTTTAAGAAGATATCAGTGACTCCACATGCCCCCCCAAAAAGACGGGCGCGTGATTCCAACGAGCCGTGACACATATTATGTTAATACCATGACCTTGACCTCTTCACACACTTTGACCCTAGACAAGACCATGACCCTCCCCCTCACCTGAGAGCATTGTTACTGACGTCCACTTTGGTCTCCCCGCCAAAGATGTAGAGTTTGCCGCGGAAACTGACGCCCGTGGTGAAGCGCAGGCAGCGCGGGAGGGAGCGGACCATGGTCCACGTGTTGGTGTGCGGGTCGTAGCGCTCCACCGTCATGAGGATCTCGTTCCCGTCCTGACCACCCACCGCGTACAGAAACCTGGGGGGAACAGGAGAGTGGTAATTGTTAGATTTGACTAATGGGGAAAAGAAAACAGTAGTAATTGTTAGATTTGACTAAAGGGGAAAAGAAAACAGTAGTAATTGTTAGATATGACTAGCTGGAGAGACAGGAGTGGTATTATTTTTTATATTTTTTTTGGTAAGTGTTTTACGGCGCTCGCAACAGCATAAGGTCACATGAGCGGGCAGGACACATTAAACATTTTCAGTCGGTAGAAAATTTTGAATTTTGTCCGGGTGGTGGCAGAAGCCTACTCTTATCTATTTTAGACCACTAAGGGATCTTTAACATGCGCAACTTGCACACAGGCCCTCCGAGATTATTCACCCTTGTCTGAGAAGGCTAGGTGTAGATCTTTCCTACCAGAAGATCAGGGGTGTGGAAGAAAGACAGCAGTAAGAAGGAGCCAAGGAGTAGCAGTAGAAAGGCTGCAGAAAGAATCAGGAGCCCAGAGGAGGGGGCAAAGGAGGTGAGGGGGTGGGGGCAGAAAGTGGAGACTAAAGCAGACGACAGAACATTGATAGAGAGCAGAAAAGGAGGTAAAAGGGGACAATTTTAGAGAAGAAAATGTTTCCATCGCTACCCGGATTTGAACCCAGGACCTTTGAAGGAGAGGCGAACACCTAAACCTCTCGGCCACGATAGCTGGAGAGTGGTAATTGTTATATATTTGACAAAAGGGAACACCCCCCCCCCCCCCTCCAGTAGTAATTGTTGTAATTTGACTAAAGGGGGAGACAGGAGTGGTAATTGAAATATTTGACTAAACAGGAGTTGTCTTTGTTATACTTGACTAGAGAGGGAAACAGGAATGGTAATTTAATTTTCATATTTGACTGAAAGGTTGAAAAAAATAGTAGTTGTTATATGTGAGGCAGCGTGGTGGAATCAGGCTCTCGTCAATTTTTGGGGCATGTAGAGTTATTGGTATCATCTTAAGGCTGGTTCACTTGTCTTTATTTGGATGAAAAAAATATCCATTTATCTTGAATACAAGTCGAGATATTTGTGAAAGAAGGAGGCGGGGTTCACCTATTTTCAGAGGTAAGATTAGTGAGAAAATGGCCCCCACCCCAAGATTAGTGATTTCCTTAGCTAAAGAGTCCGTGGTAACTAAAAATGTACATTTTTTGTACCTTTAATCAACATTTTTCAGAAAAATCACATACAAATGAGTTCTTTATTGGACATGAAAGGTGATGAGCCAAAGAACAAAACATAGACAAAAATTCACAAACCTGTTTCTTCACTTTGATTATTTTGACAAGAGCCTGATTCCACCACACTCCCTCACATATTTGACTAGAGGATGAAACAGGAGGGGTAATTGTAATATTTGACTAGAGGGAAAAAAATAAGTAGTAATTGTTATACTTGACTAGATCTTGTTTTAGTAAGTGTTTTAGTTTTAGTAGTAGAGGATTTTACGGAACTCGCAACTGCATAAGGTCATATGACCGCCAGAAGATTAGAGGTGTCACAAGAGAGTATCAAACATAAAAAAGAAGAAGGGGAGATAGGGATGACAGATGTTTGATAGGAAAGAAGAAGCAAACCACACCAGAGCACCCGCCAACCACCCACTTAGTAAGTGTTTCATGGCACTTACAACACAATAACGTCATAAAAGTGCCGAAGATTTGAGGGGTTACAAATTACAAAAGAGTAACAAAATTTTTAAAATGAAGAACAAAGAGAGATAAAGACAATAGTTGTTTGATAGGAACGAAGGAACAAACTACACCGGAACAACCGCCAACCATCTGCGAGAAAAACGTAAGAACACTCACCCGTCAACTATAACCAGCGAGAACTGCGAGCGGATCATGTTCATCTTGGCCTTGGGCTGCCAGCTGGCCTCGGCCTGGTCAAACATGTACACCTGGTTGGACACGCCCTCCGTGGTGATGGTGCCGCGGTAGTTGATCTTCCGGATGGCACCGCCCGCCAGGTAGATCTGGTTGTCCCCCGTCGACGCAACGCCTGGTGTGTTTGTGTACATGAGTGAGTGTGTGTGAGTATGTATGTGTGTGTATGAGTGTGTGTGAGGGTGAGCATTAGAGAGAGTGTGTGTTTTTGGGTGTGTGTGTGTGTGTATGTATGTGTGTGAGGGTGAGAGTGTGAGCATTAGAGAGAGTGTGTGTTTTTGTGTGTTTTTGTGTGTGTGTGTGTGAGTGTGTGTGTATGTGTGTGTGTGAGGGTGAGAGTGTGAGCATTAGAGAGTGTGTGTGGGAGTGTGTGTGTGTGTG